ACGTTTATTTATTTTTGGGACAGAGAGAGACAGAGCATGAACGGGGGAGGGGCAGAGAGAGAGGGAGCCACAGAATCGGAAACAGGCTCCAGGCTCCGAGCCATCAGCCCAGAGCCTGATGCGGGGCTCGAACTCACGGACCGCGAGATCGTGACCTAGCTGAAGTCGGACACCCAACCGGCTGCGCCACCCAGGCGCCCCAGGTCCTGCTTTCTTGAGCCATTTTGCACGTCTGTTCTCTCCAAGCCTTCGACACCTCTCACCTCGCTGGATCACAAAGCCTCCGCATGGCCCCGCGGCCTCCAACCACTCCCTCCCCGCACCCATCCATATGCCACAGCTCGAGGCTCCCAGGCCTTAGGAACATCCAAGGGAGCAACACTGCTGGCCCCTGGTCCCTGAGCTGCAGGCCACGCCCACTCCTGACTGCTAGAGCTGGTCCAAGACAAGCCTGCAAACTCCAGGGCTGCCTCTTCTTCCCCCTTTTCTCCACACCCTGGACCCAGGCGAGGCCACAAACCTGGGGAAGCTGCCTCCTTTAGAGACTCTAAGCACCATCGTTGCTCACAGGCGGCCAGACTTCTGAAAACAAGCCAGCCCCCCTTGCTGGCTCCGTCTCCTCACTTCCCACTCACGCCTCGGGCCCCAGCAGCGTGGCTTCTGCCGTGAAACTGCCTGTGCCCAGCACACGAAGACCCCCGTGCTGCCCGAACACAGCGGCTCTCAGGCCTCACGCTTCCCTGCAGCCCTGTCCCCCGCCGCCTGTCCCTTCCCGGGGCCTCAGCTGCGTCCGTTTACACGCTTGGTGTCCCCTACACCCAGGCCTCTGTCCTCGGCTGACCCCTGTGCGTCGGTGCGCCCCAGGATGGCTCACCTGAGCACCTCATCACGGGCGTCTCCGGCTCGACTCACCGCCCCCCCCCCCACCCCGAACTCACCTTCGCCGCTCCCCCGTCTCAGGCCAGCTCTCTCCACAGCTCCGCACGTGTTAGCAGACGTCCCCCAGACACTGCACCCAGTTCCTAGCGCTGCTTCACAAACTGCCACGACACGGTGGTTCTCGAACACCACACGTTTATTATCTCACGGTTCCAGAGGTCACAGGTCCTAAGATCGAGGCGTCGGCAGCGGGCTGAGCTCCTTCTGGAGGCTTGAGGGAAGAATCTACTTCCTTGCCTTCTGTAGCTTCTAGAAGCTGTCTGCAGTCCCTTGGCTCCTGGCTCCTTCTTCTATCTTCAAGGCCAGCAGGATAACATCTTCCAATCTTGTCTTTCTGACTCTGACTCTCCTGCCTCCCTCCCATAAAAATGCTTGTAATTCCACGAGGCCCACCCCGATAAACCAAGATAATCTCCCCACCTCAAGCGCCTTAATTGAATTACGCCTGGAAAGTCCCTTTTGGCCTCTAAAATGACATCCGTACAGGATCCGGGGATGAGGATGCGGCCATCTTGAGGGGGCCGTTACTTGGCCTACTATACTCACTTCCCTCCGTCTGCTCCGAGCCTCTAGGCTACCCCTCCAGTGACAGAAGACATGTTGACCCATCGCCCCTCCAGATGCAACGTCTCCATCTGAACGTTCTCGGGCGATAGGAGAGCTTGTCCATCACGCCTCACCTCTGCTCGATATTCAACCGTCTCTTCAGGGGGACCCTCCCACCAGGGTTTTCCAAGACGTTCACGTCTCTCTCTTAACAAAGTCCCCCGCCCCCCTCCCCCCCCCCCCCGTGCCTGCCGGCAGCCAACCCTCGTATCTCCCGTCTCTCTTCCACTTGTCTTATCTCTAATCAAGCTTCTAAGAAGTGCCTAGGCTGGCCACCCGGCCTCTCACAAGGTTCCCTTCGGGTGGTGCTCTGACGGGGCTTCTCCACCACAGCACTCTGGACCCCCGAGACCAGATCGCTCTTTGTTGTAGGAGGCTGTCTTCTGCATTACGAAAGGTTTAGCAGCACCCCTGACCCCTACCTTCTAGATGCCAGGAGCATAGCCCCCATCCCAAGCTGTGACGGCCCAAAATGTGTCCAGACGTTACCAAATGCCCTCCGGGTGGGGGGCGGCGGGGAGGGCAGGGAGGAAGGGAGCAAACCGCCCCAGGTCGGGAACCTCGGTCTTGGAGTACCAGGTCTTGCTAAAGTGGCCGGTGACTTCCCTGGCACTAAGCCCAGTGGACCATCTCAAGTCCTTCTCTTGCCTGGCTTCTCAGAAACACTTGACCCCGTTGACCGTTCTGGCCTTCCCGCCTCTCAGGGTGCACTTCCTCAGTCTCCCTTGCAAGGATCGTGCTCCCCTTCCGGACGGCTGAACCACCGAAGTTCCTCAAAGCTCATTCTAGGCCCTCTCCGCCTCTCGTCCATCGGTTCTCCTTGGGGGCGGCCCTCCGCACTCCCAGCCCCGCTGATACCTGTGTGCAGGTGGTTCGGGAAGTGACATCTCCGAATCTCCTTTCCAAGCTCCGAACCCGTATCGCTAACTGCCTAGTCGCCATGGCCACTGGGTGCCTTGATGTCACTCCAAAGTCATCGAGTCTAAAACTGCCTCTTGCCCTCCACCCGGGCCCCGCCTATATTCCAGTTCTCAAGAGACGGACACCTTCCCGACCTGCTGAGAGCAGGACACTGAAGGGCTCGTTTTCGCCAATTCCCTCTCCCTTACTTAGGCCAATCAATCAACTTCCAAGTCAACCCCGCTCATCTCCGAAATGAATAGTTCACAAACGAGTTCACCCTTTCTTCATGTCGCTGCCCCACCCTAACCCAAGCCTCCACCATCCCCGACTCAGACAATGATCCATTCGTGACCCATGCCCCCTGCTCCCAATCTGTTCTCCAGCCTGCAGCCAAAGTCACCCTTTCAAAACATAAATAAACTTCTCATTGTTCTTAAAATAAAGAACAAAAGTCCCAATTTGGCTCAGCGGGCCCTACACATCCAAGACCGTCTCCCCCTCCAGGCCCCCGTGTTCGCTCCACTCCGGGCACAATGACCTAGTTGCGCAAACATGCCATACTCTCGCCCGCCACAGGGCCTTTACACATGCTGTCCTGTTCATCTGGTGGGCATTCTCTTTCTTCAATCACACCTCAACTATCAGGAAGCCTTCCTTGACCTCTGGCCACATCACTTCCTCTGGTTGTTCCCTTCTCTCCTAGCCTCACTGCCTCTTCATCCCCTGAGCCATAATTTTACATTTATTTACCTTATTATTTGATTCATTCCGGCTTCCCCACAATAAGCTCCATGAGGGCAGAACTGATGTCTGATCTGGCCCATCACTGTATCCCTGAGGCCCGTTCAGGGCTTAGCACAAACGAGACCCACGAGAAACCTGCAACCTGACCTAACCATTCTGTAACGCCTCTGCCCGACAATCTTCAGAGGTTCCCATGGCCCGCAGAAGGAGCATGCGCTTACCCTGGCTTATGAAATGTAGGGTGATCTGGCCCCTGACTCCCTCTCCTGCTGATTTCCTGCCACTCTGCCTGTCAGGCTCACTGCTGTCGCCACACGGACCTGCCAGATGCGTCTCTCGCTCAGCCGACCTGTGTGAATACAGCATCCTCCCACCCGCCTTCCACTAACTACTACTCATGCTTCAAGTCTCAAGCTAGAGGAAATCCCGCCCAAACCCCTCGAGTAGGCCAACAACAACAATAATAACAGCTGATATTCACTGCATGCTTCCTAAAGGCAGGCGCGGTCCTAAGAACTCTATAGTATTGACCCATCGTGTCGCACCGTCAACTATGATTATTCTGTTACAGGACAGGCACAGAGAAGTGAAATGATTCATCCAAGGTCACACCAGATAGGAAATAGCAAAGCTGGCTGGCGTAATGAACTTGGGCTCCAGGCCCCAAATCCATCAGCACCGTGAACTCCACCGTCTCCCTCCCTCTGCAACTAGAATGTCTCATCTTCCCTCCTTCAGTAGCAATGATCACATGTGCCCGTACCTGTTCGATCCCTGTCCCTCCCCCACCAGACCGGCCACTCCCCGAGGGCAGGGACCACGTTGCCTCGGGCACCCGGTCCAGCCCCTGGCATCACTGCTTTTTTAGCTGAATGTCGTGCTCTGCATTCCCACAGCCCCCAGACCCAAGTCACCCACTCCGGAGGAGGGCTTGAGGTGAACCCTTGGTCCATTTCACAGAACGGTCTACCAGACCCACACATGAAGAATCATGAGAAAATCACCCTGAATTCTCTCCGGCTGGCTGGTCCCACGGGCTCCCTAGAGCCCTACCACTGATTCTGCGGACTACCGCCTGACGGGCTCCTTAGCATGGCCCTCGGCCACCAAGGAGCACAACCACTCAGCCAGGGCCAGGGGGTAGCAAGATCCATCATGCACACGTCCCGGAGTGATGGCAGAAAAAAAAGCCCTTGGGCCTGGCTGGGCCAGCGTATGGCTCCCCCTGCTGGCTTCCTTCCATGTTCATTAGCACCCTCTCCCAGTGCACAGCCCAGGGGACACTCACCAGCCACGAGAAGAAGCCAGCCGATTTGTCCTGGGTGGAGATCTGCCCCTCATAGGGGCCGAAGATGTGACCCTTGGGGATGACCTCATTTATGCATCGCACGTCATTCTCCCCACTGGCTTCCTTGACCACCTCCATGCCCTGTGGGATGGTGAGGGCAGCCCTGTCTGGGATGCCCACGGGCACCGGCGTGTCGGACACAAACACTGGGGGACCGTGGTTCGGACACTCATCCACAAAGTACTCCTGGCAGGACTCGCAGACTGAAGGGGCGGAAAGAGCGAAGAGAGCCTCAGTTGCTGCAGGGAGGCAGGACCTCCATGGCAGAGGCTGAGGGGCTGATGGGAAGCCCACCCTGAGGACGGCACAGGGCCGTGAAAAGCCCACCGCAGGGGACTCGGGAGTCCCGGCCCTGGCTCCGCCCCAGCCAGCCACGGGGGGGGGGGCCCCAGAGTCTTCAGCGGTAATAACCCATTCCCCTCCCCGGGGGCTCAAAGGACACGCCTGCCAGTGCGCAGGAAGCCAGTAGCTCCCTTTGTATCAAGTTTCAAGCACAGCTTTGGAGTCAGATGGGTCTGGGTTTGAACTGCAACCATGCCTCTGTGGCCTGTGGGACCCGAGGCAGGGTGCTTAACCCTCACCAAGCCCTGGGGTCCTCACCTGGAAAATGGGACCCGTAACAGCCACCTCAGTGGTTAATGGTGAGGCTAAACTGAATCCGGGACCCGTGTCTGATACGTGACAGGCGAACGCCTATGGTCAGTTACGGCTGCAAACTCCCTAAGCAGAGCTGGGGTGGAGGGTGGGAGTCGGGGGGGGAGGGAGGAGCAACCCAGGAACAGCCTCGAACTCCACTTACACCAGAAGTCCACTTGCTGGAAGCTTTTGGGCATGATGAGCTCACGCTTCCCCTTCAGTTTCTTGGGCTCCACTTCCATGGACGAGGGGTCTGGTCTCCTAGAGCTGGCCAGACCAGGGGCCAGTGGAGAAAGCAAAGAAGCCATCAGAGAGCGGGAGGCTGGGGGGCAGAGAAGCCGTGGACCTGGCCAGGAGGCCACGGGGATGCGGGATGGGCCGAGGAACCCCTGCCAGGCTGCCCATTCAGTGCAGGGACAGCGAAAAGGTAGGATCTGAGACCTGGACCCAGCCAGGCCTTCTAGGGTCCCTGCTTGCGTGCCTTCTAGAGCCTGCGCTCTCCCCTCTGCTCCAAGGAGCTGCCCAGAGCAGGCTCAGGAAGGTGGGCCAGGAGTGGGAACTCTTCCCCAGGGCCTCCAACCAACCCAGCCCAACGACTCCCCACTTCTCCCTCTCCTGTCCCCACACCAGGGCCTCACCAGGGCTGGCCATACTCCTGGTCGCGGAGTGGGGAGCAGACCTCTGTCTTCACCACGGTCACCATATCCCCCACGGCCGCCTTGGTCTGCGCCAGGCACTCCTTCATGTTCTCAGTCATTCTGTCCTGGGGACGCGAAGGCGGGACCAGCACAGGAAGAAGATCAAAGAGACAGGGGAAGAAGGGTGAGTGTCACAGAGGGCAAGCGGGGGGTCCCGTGGAGTCTGGTTACCCTCCCTGCCATCCCCAGAGGAAGCGCTGGAGAACACAGACAACAAAAACAGCTGTAGCTCGGCCAAGAGGAAATGCCATTTCTATCCCGGGCTGGTCCTGGGGAGGACTGGAGCCACCAGCCCCATGGGGTCAGAGGACGAGGGGCAGCTCAGGCCGGGGGAGGGCAGGACTGGAGAGCGCAGCCCGGACCCCAAGGCCAAGGGGCAGAGGGGATGGGGAATCCACAGGAAGGAGCCTCCGCACAAAAGTCTGCACTGGGGGGCAGGGGAGGGATCGACTCAAGTCCAGCTGGGGCCAAGCGGGGCTGGAGGATGAACCGGGCCCCCAGCGCCTGGCTGTGCGGCCCCTCACCCCGAGGCTGCCAGGTGAATGCAGCCAGGCCCGCTTTGCCAGCTCAGAGCAGGTACAGGCGGGGCCTGGGGGTCCCGGTGTGGGTCGGCGAGCCAGCCCTGACTCCGAGCCCCACCCGCTCTCTCCAGGGAAGTCGCCCCAGCCCGCCGCTTACCGCCCTCCTCCTCCACCACCGCGCCGGGCTTCAGCCCCTCCCTCGGCACCCCTGGGTCCTCATGCCAAGCCCGGGGACACTCTTCGGGCCAGGGCGGTGCGCGGCTCAGGCTGGGACCGCGCTCGCGGCCCGGGACTGGGCAAGCGGCGTGTGTGACTCACTACCCGGGGCCCCGCTGGCCACACCCCTGCTCCTCCGCTAATCAGCCCCCTGCTCCCCACCGGGGCCCCAAAGCCGG